GCTAAGTTTTCTCTGGTAATTACAGTAAGGATATAGGACTTAAGTTCTGTTCCGCTTCAGCCAACTCTAAGTAGTTTCATCTTGGACTCATTCATGTGTTGAATAGTAAGTATAATTTTTGCATTTATTTTTTCTGCTCTTCAAATATACAGGTAGTATTCTCTAAACAAAGCTTGGGCAAAAACAATTATGAAAAGAGTGAAAAATTGAACTTAATAATCACTGTGAACAAAATAATCAATGGAGGCTATGCCTTCCTAGGAAGTGATATCATGATAATAAAAATATTAATTACAAAGCAAAAACATTTTAATTGCTACACTTACTGAATGTTAAATAGACACCAAACTGCCGAATTCTTTACATATGTTTCTCATCTATATAGTAGTACGTTGAGATCACAGATACCTCTGTGTGGGCCGGGAAGATAGCTCAGTAGAATAAGCACTTGCCTGGCAAGCGCAGGGGCCTGAGTTCAATCCCCTGTTCTGCAAAAAATAAAATAAAAATGCCTCCATGTTTTAGTAATTTTGAGCCCTTAAAAGAGGGTGAGCCTGTTGCCTTAAGTCAGTCAGTATGGGTTCAGTAAGAATGTGGACCTAGATCTTTTGTTTTCCTGGCACTTGGGATCAAACTGGGGACCTTGTGCTTGCCAGGCAGGCACTTATGCTGCAGAGCTATATCCCAGCCCCTAAAACCTAGATTTTGCTGATTTTAACACAACATATTCTTAGTCACTTAAGTATATTACCTTCTGTGGAATGAAGCCAAAACTTACCAAGCCTTGAAACTCTTTAGGTCAAGAGAGAGCTAAAATATTTTCCCCTAACACTCTTAGGCAAATATATTCTGATTTTTATTATCATGTAATAAGTTCATTCATCAATCTTATTATCCTGTTTGGGGCTATCAGACTAGAAGGTCAACTTTTTCCTGGTCTAACAATACAACTGGGACTCATTATAAGTCAATTGATTTGATCAGCAGCATAAACGTATTAATTGAGGTGGGTTCCTACTATGATACCCAGGCTGGTCTCAAATGCATGATTCTCCTGGCTTAGTATCACAGGTACGTGCCTGGCTAAAACAGTTCTAAAATGGAAGTGATGGTTGGATTTGAAGTAAGATTGTCTAGCAGTTTAGGCTGAGAGTATAGATCAGTGGTCATATGCTTGCCTGTCAATTGCATTCAACCCCCAGCCTTACCAAGGGAAAAGAATGGAAAAATAAAAAATCTAGGAGATTATAGGCACACACCTAAAATCTCAGCCACTCAGGAGACTGAAGTAGGAGGATTGCCATGAATTTGAAGCCATGCTGGGCTACATAATGAGTTCAAGTCCTAACTAAACTGCATAGTGAAACCCTGCCTCAAAACCAAAGAAAGTCTAGCAGTTCAGTTTAATATTCTATAGTTTCATGGTCCAAGTCTCTAATGGATGTTTTGGCTGCTCCATTCCAAATTGTAGAAAATCTTCTTTACCTTGCCAAAAGATAATCAGATTAGTGTTGATAGTGAAGATGCCTCTCATATTTAAAGATCAATAGGCTGTTGCAGTCTGTCATAGAGCTCTGCAGTGTCCTCATCTAATTGCAGAAACATAGACTTCAATTCAAACTAAGAAATATGTATGTCATGCTCAGTGGAAGTGAGTTTATAGTAGAGAACATTGTGATCAGTTTTTCTTTTGATGGGCTTAATAGACAGGGAGATTCCTAACACAAGCAACAGTGGTATAGTTAACATTTTAAAAGCCACCTCTGTTAGATTGAAAAACAGATGTGCTCAGCTCAGTGGCTTGAGAGCAATATGTTGTCTCTTATCAGGCAGTTGAGAAACTAGAAGTAGCCTATCAAGAAATTTGCCATTCTGAAGTAAAAGAAGGATCTCCTGCAAGGGTCAAGCAAAGTCTGCTGAAAAGTGATTATATAAAACAGAAGATTTAAGTTTACATTTGATGAAACAGATTAATCCTCAAAGTCTTTAATAAATGTGGCCCCACATGGAGATACTGATGTCATTTTCTTTGTACTATTTTTTAACTTTCACTTTGGCCTTTGTTCACAATGCGTGTTTTCTTCTTTTCCTGGCTCCCTGGCTTCCTCAAATTATTTCATACAGCTATGTGTGGACCATCTGTCTTTCCAAAAGGCTGTCTCTCCTCTCGACAAGGGGCAGGGGTGGGAGTGAGAGGCAAGTATGAATAGAAAGCCAAGAAAAATCTTGCACCGTTTTTTGGCTCCTCTTTTCTGGCCCTTCTTCACCTGCCCTGCAGCCCCCTGGGGACCCACAGAGAGACAACAGCTTGCATCCTTTTGAGAACACAGCAATGACTGCAGAAGGGAAAGTGCTAAGCTGGTCAGCTTTCCTTCTAAACACAGAAAAGTGACACAGATGGTGTGTGCTGTGCTGGAATGCACACATTCTGTACCACAGGATCAAGTAGAATGCAGTTGCTTCGTTGACCCTGAAGGGGAAACTGAGAGATTCCAACATAAATGAAATACTTAGCTAAGTAAAATGCAAGACAATGATTCATATTGTTTCCAATAATTTTGTAATAATTTGTGTATTTCCCAGGCCCCCTCCCCCAACCTTGGGGATTGAGTGCACACAGCACTCTGGGAGAGCACCCACAGGATTGGCAAGACTGAAGATACACACTTGAGCCCTACAGCTCTGTTCCATTGGAATTTTAACCCTAATGAAGATGATTGAGAGAAGTGCTCTTAAAACTCCTTAGCCTTAGTGTAGACTGTCTTCAGTTTAAAATGCTAAATCAGTGGGACATTCAGTTCATACTGTTTCTCTGTGGAACCCCCTGGCCATATTTAAGGCCTTAGAAAAAGACAGGACACATAACTTAGTGATAGAGCACTTGTCAGTTATGTATAAAGCTATGTTCAATCTCCAGCACTGCCAAAAAAAATAGAACAAAACAACCATGAATAAAGCAGTCCTGCTTCAGAAGAACCTACAAACTTAAAACAGAGAGTTGCTACCCAAAATCAATTACTGAGCTGAAGTAATAAGCTTTGGAATAAGCCTTACTACACACATGAGCCAAATTTTATAACTTTTAAGCCCTTCCAGTTTCAGTTACTTAAAAATAATAAAAATAGGATCAATTACCAAAAGGTTAGCCTGAGTTTCCAAAGAACAGTAGTGAAAAATGCGAGTTTAAAATTTAACTTGTTACTGGGGGATCGCCACTAAAAACTGTCCTTACTGCCTTTGAGACACAGCAGCAGAGAAGCTTTGTCCCTACGGGGAAAAGAAAATTAAGGCCTTCATGAGCCTTGAGCAAGCTGCAGCTGCTGCTAGTGTGAACAAAAAGCATTTCAGTCTTGAATCTAACAGCATAGGCTGAAAACTCATCTAATGCAAACATCCGGGATTACCCTAAGCTGTGCAGTCCTCCAGCTCAGGGGAAGATGCACCCTAAGTCCTTAAAACCTGGTCTGGGGAACAAGGGCTGCACTTGTTTCAAGAGAAGCCCATGGATGAGCTGTGCAGCTGCAACTTTTGTCCAGGCATCAAATTTCACTGGAAAACTATTTTAAACACTGCAAAAAGTATACCCATTTGCAAAATGTTGTCAGCTCTCTGTTTTGTTTCAAGATAGTAAATTAAGCCATAAATCAAACTACAACTGAATCCTGAAAACTTTTGGTATTGTCAAAAATTAATCAGCTCTAAACAAGTGAGGGTTTGACAAACATGAAATATTGAGTGGTTGAGTTGAAAAAGAGGCTTTCACTTAATATTAATGATGTTGATTTCTTTGCAAACAGTTGTGCTTCTCACTTAAATATGACTTATAAGCCCCATAAGGTAGAAGGATTGCTCCAAGTTCGAGACCAGCCTGAGATATATAGTGAGTTCAAGGCCAGCCAAAGAAATCTTGTCTCAAAAAACAAACAAACAGTGTCTCACACATCCAGGCCTGGGGAAATAGCTCAGTGGTCTAAACACCTGCCCGGCAAGCACAAGGTCCCAAGTTCAGTCCCTGGTACCACATGGCATGCTGGCCCCAGAACCTTAGCCAAAAACCAAGTGTAGTGACACTTACCTGTAATTCTGGCAGTGGGGAGGCTGAAACAGAAGGATCTCTATGAGTCCAAGCTGCATGGCGAGACCCTGTACCACATAATTAATTAAAAAAAATACAGCCAGACATGGTAGCCATGCCTGTGGTCTCAGTACTCAGAAGGCTTAAGCAGGAGCATCACCGCCAGTTCAAGGCCAGCCTGAATTGGATAGCAAAATCCTGTCTCAAAAAAGATAGATTAATTAATTGGTTGAAGCTATTTTTTGAAAAACAGTTCATACAGATTGCATATGTACTACTGCTTTTTTTCCCCCTGTATTTTAGGGAAGGGTCTACAGGTGTTCAGGGTCTCACTACTAGATCGGACTTGCAGTGATTCTCCTGTTTACAGCCTCCCAAGTTCTGGGATTACAGGTGCGCACCACCATGCCCAGTTTCACTTGCCAGCTCAGCATACCCCAGGGGCAGGGCTGGCACAGCAGGCCCGGGGATCGAACCACCCCCCACCCCCATGCCTGCTTGCAGGTGCTTTAATCCGCTGAGCTATTTAGCCAGCCCTGTGCTACTTCTTAGAAGCAAAAAACAACATGATTTTTGAATTGTGGGACCCACACAGGGCTAGGTTTGGGCCTCGGTCCTGCCACATATGCCTGTATATTCCCTCAGTTTTCTCATCTGCAAAGCAGAGCTAATAGCTGTGTATAGGTGTGCATACCAATAATCCTAGCAGTCTGAGAGGCCAAGGCCAGTGGATTGCAAGTTTGAGCCCTGATCTCTGATTCTTTGTAGCTTTTTTTTTTCTTTTTTCAGTTCTTGCTGGAAAATATAGCTCAGAAATGTAGCCTCAGCCAATGTTTTGCCACCTAACACAGTTGGACCATGTCAAAATAGTTTCCATAATAGTTTCCATCTGACTCCAAGAGTGCTATTTCTCTTTCCCTCCCAGTTTGAACGCCATGACCCTGTGGAAGGAAGGATAACTGAGCGGCAGTTTGGTGGCATGCTGCTGGCATACAGTGGGGTGCAGTCCAAGAAGCTGACTGCCATGCAGAAGCAGCTCAAGAAGCACTTCAAGGATGGAAAGGTAGGTTGCTTTTGGCAGGAACTGTGGGAACAGCTGGTTGTTGCAAAGACACCAAACCAATGATGAGGGAGTGTCCTAAACCAGAGTACAAGCAACTCATCCATATACTTGAGGCCCAGGAGAGCAAAGAGAGCTACAGGCAAGGGAGGGGAGAAAGTGCAGAGTCACCTCAGATTTCTCATGCAGGCAAAGGGTGGCACCACACCCTGAGATTGAAAACTTAAAAAGAAAGGCTAGTTTGGATGAGAAGGTAAAGAGTTGCAGTTGTGGATATCTTGTACTTAAGATACCAAGTATGTAATCAACAAGCACCTGAATATTTATCAGTATACTTTTAAAGTTAAAACCATGAGAATGGAAGAGATTTCCCAAGGTGGGTATATACAGAAGTAGAAGAAAAAATATGTAGACCAAGAAAAGAACCCAGGAGAATACAACATTTAAGCAACTAAGAAAAGAAATCCAAGACTGGGCATGGTGGTGTGCGCCTGTAATCCCAGCTTTTGGGGGGGTTGTAAACAGGTGGATCACTAAGAATCTGATCTAGTAATGAGACCCCGAACACCTGTAGCCCCTTCCCTAAAATACAAAAAAGAGAAAAAAGAAAAATCCAGAGAAAGATTATCCAGAGAGAGTAATGAAATCAAAGCCACAGAAGAGAGAGTTCAGGAGCTGAAGGTTCTAGTGTCACATGTGACTGAGAGGGCCCAGAAGGATAAAGATTAAGACATCTGTTGGTTTTGGTGACCTTTGGGAAAACTGTTTCATTGCAGTGGTCCAGCTGACAGGCATGTTTGATGAGAAGTAAGGTAAGATAGAAAAGAAACAGGAGGAGGAAGAAAAGGCTCTAGACAAAGCAATATTGCATATGTGAAACTCTGAGGCCATTCTGGCTACTGTAACAATACCATGGTCTGAGTGGTTTTAATAGTAGAAATTAATTTTCTCACAGTTCTATATGAAGAAGCTATATGTGCTCACATGAACTTTTATGTACACACATAAAAAGAAAAGGAGTGTTTCGACATTTTTCTTTTGAGGACACAAACCGTATTGCATTAGGACTCACCTTGATGGCCGCATTTAACCTTGTTTCCTTTGAGGTCCCATCTTGAAAGACACACACACACAGTGTTGGGGCTGCAACACATGAATTTGGGGAAGGAACTTGGAGACACAAATAATCAGCAGGAAAGACAAAGCTGACACACGTATGTGAGAAGTGGAAAGGAAGCCAGTGTGGTCCGAGAACATGGGGAAGGAAGAGGGTAGCCTGAGTTAGGTCAGAGACTTGAACTGGGCATGGAAGCAGTGTGTCTATGGTAGTATATGTGTTTAAAGGACAACCTACAGAAAGGAGCAAACGTAGAGGCTTTATGACCCAGGAGGTTGTGAAAGAATTTGAAGGGATATCTGTCTTAGTTACTTTTTACTCATTGCTGGGACAAATACCCAACACTTAAAATGAAGGAAGGAACAGTTTATTAAGCCCACAGTTTGTGGAGGTTTCAGTTCATACTCTGTTGATTCCAAGGCAAATGACAGCAGAAAACAATGAAGAGCAGAAGAGGAACAACAGCTACAGCTCCCTTCTCTTTGCTGACCACTGCGAAGAAGTGGCAGCTGCGCAGATCTAGCCCCTCCAAAAACTGAGACTTCTCCAAGGAATCAGAGCAGGGTGGCAGGAGCGACCCATGGCCCCAGGGTGGAACCAATCCCCAGGTTGGGCCCTGCCCCACGTGCAGCAACTGGTAGTGTATGTATGTCTGCTGGAAATTGCCCCATGCCTGGAACTGTAGGAGCCAGATTCAGCCAACTTGACAGTGTATCCACTACCACAGTGTCTTTTGAACTGGTGCAGGAAAACAAAAGGACAATGGTAGACTGAGTCAGTATTGGGGTTTTTACTGGTGTCTAGAATGAGCAAACTGAAGCACACACACACAAAGTGTTAAAAGACACATTAAAAGATCAGGTCTCCAAAAGATTACATATGCATGGACACACAGACACAGACACACACAGAGCAGTGTTAGGGCTAAAGTAGAGCACAGATCTTATTCCCAAGCCCATTACGCTTCCCACTGGATAGTCATTACCATTTAGCCGGGACCAAAAGACCTACCTGGCACTAAAAGTATTCAATAAGAGATCACCACAGCCATGTGGTATGATAGACACAAAGCTTGTTAGAAGACTTGAGCTCAAGTCCTGACCCAGGCTTTCTATGGCCCTGAGAAGTTTATCTTAACTTGCTCACCATAAAGACCATTCTCCCTTTAAAGACTTAATACCTGAATAGAAGAAATAGGCTAGCATTTGTCCCAGTTTTCCCAGACTTTGTACAATAAATCTCATGTGAATAGCACCGCCCCAAGTTGGTGGAGAGCCTTTCTCAGTGAGACTTTTTCATCCTTGTCTTGGATGTTGAAAAGCTAAAAGGACCTCTGGGCCCTCTGTTGACTACAGCTGAGTAGGCTCTGAGAGATGTCAGCGTCTCTGAACTCAGTGCAGCCTTTCCCGCAGCAGGTATTCCCTTAGCTGTGGAGGAAACTTGTCATTAATAGAAAGTGAAAGAGAAAACTATTTCTCTCCCACAGTGCACTTCTCCACTACCAGTACCTTATGTATGTCTGCTGGAAATTGTAATTTCAGAAAATTGATTACTGGTGTATATTGTTGTAACTCAAAAATCAGATGACAATGAGGCAAGTCCAAGAGTTAAAGAAGCGCTTTATTTTAGCTGGTACCCAGCGGCAGACACCCCAGCAAGATGCTGAGGTGCGCGCCCAGGAGGGGAGAGACAAGGGTTTTTAAGGCTGAAAACCGCAAAGGGGAGGTCTTATGATTTGAGTGCAAGGGAATGCAGCACAGGGGTCAGCGTCCACTTTCGGGAAAATAGATTACATACAATTTTTAGGAACAAATAATTACAATTTATGGTTCGGTGCTGATCACAGGACATATTGTATGGAGTGCTCTGGGGTAAAAATAGTGCAGATCTCAACCTTCGACACACTGTGGTTTAGAACAAAGGAATGGTTTGAGCATTAACAAACTGTGTTCAGAGGTCAGATGAATGGCTTGAGCCATCAAGATGGAGTTTAAGTTGTCAGCTTATACCAAACAATCCTCATTAATAAAGTTACAGTGGACATGTACAGAAATGTATAATACAATGCCCATTCTGGTTACAAAATGGAGTGGGTATTTAAGCCAATAAACCATAAAAGCTGACCTCAAGGGTTTATCTTGGGGCTACAGTTGAAAAATTACCTGTTTCTAATGAACAATAACAAGTGCAGTGATGGGTACAGTTTGTAGTTGGGAACGAGGGCGAGATCAGGGCATTGGGCTGAAAATAGATTCAGGTGCGCACAAAAGGGCAGCGTGAGAAAGGCCCAACTGCAGGTTCTCAAGTAGAGAATGGGCACAGTAGAAAGTTACAGCATTTAGAATGGCGCATACAGAACAAGATGGCGGCTCATACGTCAGGTTATAACAGTTAATAAAGTTACAGTGGAAGCATACAGAGTTACAAAATTGGAATCAATTGCACAGGCTATAACATATATGAGGATTTTATTTTTTCTTTAAGCCCCTTTGCTGGAAGCATAATGTTTGCATTAGGAAACACTCCTTCCTTTTGATCAGACTTTTTTTTAAATGTATTTAGTACAGGGTCTACAGGATCTCACAACACAGATCGAACTCATAGTGATTCTCCTGTTTTCAGCCTCCCAAGTGCTGGGATTACAGGCGTGTGCCACCACGCCCAGTCCCAATCACTGTCTCAGCGCACACTGGGGTTGGGGCTGGCACTGCATGCCAGGACTCAAACCCCAGCCACTACACTGTGCCTAAGCAGGCACTTTAGTTTGCTGAGCTATCTGGCCGGCCCAATCAGACTTATTTTTAAAGGTTGTTCCAGACATTGATTTGACCTTAAAATAATTATCATGAAAGCCTAATTCACATTTTGTTATAAATTTATATTTAAAAGCAATAAACTGAGTGTGAGAAACATCACCCTGAAATGAGTAGTGTTTTAGCTGTGGCAGGAGTTAATTTAGGACCTAGAGGTTTTGCAGAAGAGCTGTGGAGTGAAAAGACAATTTTGTCAGATGATGAAAATATCAGGTGCTAAATTATTTCTGGTCAGAATTCCTAGCTTACTTTAGCAAGGAGATTAAGATTGATTGTCCTCTGGTGTTGATTAAATAGTTGTGAGCATAGCAATTAACTAAAATGAGAGTTAATGAAGGGCCTTTAGTCCTGAGGTTACCAGTCCCACTCTCTAGGACTATTTTGCTTTAAAGAGGAATCACCATCTTTCATTGTTTCTTTTTCTTTCTTTCTTTCTTTCTTTCTTTCTTTCTTTCTTTCTTTCTTTCTTTCTTTCTTTCTTTCTTTTGTACTGGGAATCCAACTCAAGACCTCATGCTTCAACCATCTTCTTTATAATTGCATACCCTTTGGACTTGTTAACAAGATGATCAACATAAAGATGTAAATTTTTATTGGCTCACATTCATCAGTTTCTGTATCAAAATATCAAACCAGACCCAAAAGATTGACAATCCTAGTGATGACAATAAATAGTTACATATAACTTCATGACCACCCAAGCCTTCATAACCATTTTTGTGCTTCTGTCTTTGTACCAGCCTTGTTAGACTTCTCTGTATCTTTGGGAATGTAGAGACAGAGAAAGAAAATCTCCACCCAGAGCCTACACCATCCATGGAGATCTTTTAGAGTTTTCAGTGATACAAAGATTTGCTCTGGCACACATGCCACAGGTTTGCCACCATTAATAGACTATAAAGCAAGAATTCTTTTTGTCTTTTCCTTCTTATAATACTATTTCTTTTCTTTTTTTTTTCCTTGATGGTACCAGGGATTGAACTCACAAGGTTGTGCTTGCCAGGCAAGCGCTTATTCTACTGAGCTATCTTCCCGGCCCCTAAAATATATA